AGGTGTTGAGAATGTTGTGAGAAGACTGGACTCTTTGTCGAGGACACAGTGCCAGTAGCCTGCTTTAAGATCTACTGTTGAAAATACTTTGGCTTGTGCTAGTTCGGGTAGCATATCATCCAAGATTGGTAGCTGGTAGGTCTCTCTTTTCAGCACTGCATTGAGGTGCTTTGGGTCAATGCATATTCGTAGGGCTCCAGACTTCTTGGTAGCGATGGCTAGGCTGCTAACCCACGGAGTTGGTTCCTCTACTTGGGCCAACACTCCTAACTTCACATATTTGTCTAATTCTTCCTTGAGCTGTGTTTTAAGAGCAGTGGGAACCCTTCGTGGCGGAATTATCACAGGGCTTGCATTGTCTTCAGTTTCGAGGTGTACTGTTCCCGGCAGTGACCCTACTTCTCGCTCAAAGATATCTGTGTATTCCTGAACAATCTTCTCAGTAGAAGTTAACTGGTGGACTTCTGGTTGAGATGGCCTGGTCGGAGAAGCTGTTATGAAATTCGAGTTGTTTATATTGATCAACTTCATTTGTTGGGCCGCACGTGCTCCGATAAGCGGGGTGAATGTTTCACGAACGACGACGAATTCAATTGAATACCTCTTGTGGTTCTTCGGATTACGCACGATCACACGTGTCGAGCCAACTGGAGTGACGTTTGTTCCATTCCACATGCGCAGTGACTTCTTTGACGGTTTAATTGCACAGTCCCCAACATATTTGAGTGGTAAAATGTTCACTGATGCTCCGCAGTCGACTTGAAATGATAGTGAGCTGCCGTTTATTATCATCTCTGCATAAATTTCCTTTGGGTATTTGTTGTCTGAAACTTGAGATATGTATTCTTCTTCGAGGCAGATGCTAGTGATGAATTCCACATTGCTGTCGGTATCTGTTTTGTCTGCCATGACGTGGTTTATTCTTCGATCCTTTTTACAGACACTTGCGAAATGATTCCTGCCATTGCATTTCTGGCACTGCTTTCCCCACGCAGGACATTTCTTCTTATTCATCTCATGTTTGTTTCCACAGAAGTGACACGTTTTCGTGACCCGTCTTGTATTATCTTGAGATTGCTCATTCCGATCATTCCTCCATTTCCGATCACGCCGCCAAGACCTTCCTTGGCCACGTGTCGGATCTTCAACTTTATTTACCGCTTCTAAATTACTACCAGAGGCAATTTCTTTCATTTGTGAGC